AATCCAGCAGCCCATCCTCCGTTCCCCTGTCTCCTAACAACTCAACCGAGCCAGCACAACACTCCCCCTGATGGTGAGCAAGCTCCACCATCTTGTGCGAGGTGAGGTCTACACTTATGTACCCATGAACTGGCATTACATCATGGGACAAATACAGCATAGGGGAAATGATATAATACAGACCCGATTGTTTGCTGACAACCAGAGCTCCATAGCGCTTTCAGAGAATCTGGAGTTGCACCAAGCACCAAGCATGTTGACATCAAGCACCATTTTATGCGAAGTTATGTAGCGAATAGTTTAGTTGATCTCAAATATATTTCAATAAAAGAGATGGTTGTAGATGGTCTAGTTAAATTTCTTTCAGCTGTTGTACACAAGTTATTGGTCAAGATGCTTCATATGGACAAATGTGAGAAGAAGGGATAAGTTCTTTCTCGGAAATACGAAGAAAATATTGGGAATTGATTCTCGATGAATTTAACACCTTTGACTTTCTAGCTGAAGGGGTGTGTTTATTATCATGATTTGATTTAGCTCGTTCAGGTACCCTGTAGGCTCATGCAGATGTATCTAGCTATAATATTTGCAGAGGAAGAAACCAATTCGATAGAAACCCCCGAAACTGTCTGTCTCGTGTCTATTTGTTTTCTGAGGTTTCCTACGCGAAGTGCGTTGATAATGTTCATACAGTGTGAATTCCCTTTTATCCTTGTCCACATTGTCTCATCTTTTCGTCCAATGCAATCTCTAATTCTCTTGCAAGCCGGAATTGTTCAAACCAGCCTTTTACCAAGATTCATTTTGTGATTCTCTCCATATCATCTGTGCTGTTCATCATTGCCGTAAATGACCTGTCTTTTGCCTTTCGAAGCACCTCTCCTCTTCCCATTGCCCACTGAGGACACGCCAAGACCATATGTTTAACATTTTGAGACGGATATCCATACTGGCATTTTGGATTAATCACTCTGGGGACTTTCCTTCGATACAGATAGTAATTGAGACCAATGTGCTCACTTCTTATCTGAACAGCAATACTGCTTTGGGCTCTACTTCGGTTCCGGTGGATATTTGAGGGTGTGTTTCTACAGGTAATCCTTTTTCTGCCCGTTGTCTCATCTGTAACAATATTTGCGGCTTTCAAATGTCCAGGATCTGTCGAAGCCCGATGACTAGATAGTTTCTCGCTCCCTGGACCTCTCCATGAGCTTTTCTACTCCCGGGACGCGGCCACCTCACCGGCATCTTTTTGTCTCCCTTTCGCAATCTCCATGCTACAAATTTTGGTCCATTCTTCAATGTCTAGCTTTCATTTCTTTGCGTGCCTTGAATTTGATTTCATTAACCTGATTTGGCGCCCTATGGGCCCATGCAGGTGTCTACGAACTCTAATATTTACATAGGCGGAAACCTTGCGGTAAAAACCCCCTTAGCTGTCTGACTTGACTCTGCGCGATTATAGTCTTACCTCTAGGAAGTGCACTCACACTGTTGTTGCCAGTATGGATTCCGTCCTTGTCCTGTGTATCCATTTTCCTCTCTTCGCCTGATTAACGCCTCGATTTCCCCGGTAATCCGAAAATGCTCTAGCCATCCTTCCTTTTGAATCCACTGTGCAATTCTTGTCATGCCTTTGACATTATTTACCATAGCTTCGAAAGATCGAGTTGTCGATTTTCGTAGCAGCTCACCTCGTCCTATGGCCCATCTTGGACAAGACATCACCATGTACTTTATATTTTGGGACGGATATCCACATTGGCAGCATGGTTTTCCTACTCCTGGCAAGTTCCTTCTGTATAAGTAAGCATTGAGCCCAATGTGCTCGTTTCTTACTTGTGTGGCAATGCTGCTCTGGGCCCTGCTAAGGTTTTGGTGGATTTGGATAGGTGACTCTCTATAGTTCATCTAAGTCTACCTGTCTTCTTGTCGTTATATAAGTTTGCAGCTTTCCACTTATCCGGACTGGCTTGCGCTTGAGGACCCAAGCGCCGCTCCTTCTGACTCGTCCAGGATTCTGACCATTCCTTGAACGCGGCGCTCTTTCCGGCTACTTTCTGTCCTGTTTTAGACTGAATTTTGCTGCAGATTAGGGTACGTCCCGCTTTATTATATCTCCTATTCCGATCACGTTTTTTAATTTTTCTTCAAAAAATTTGATTTTTCTGGGTGCAGTTAAAATTGTCTGTTGGACAGGTAGGTCATTGGATAGCCCGGTATATTGAAGCCGCCTTTGTTATAGGTAGATCTCTATCGGTAGAGTTGATGTTTCATGCTCTAGCATTCTACTACTGGTCGATTGGTATGCCCCCGTAATGAGCTATAGGAACTTCCTTTGAACACATCTGAGTGGCTTGAGTATCCTTTCATCTTGTTATTATTATTCTTCAATTTGATTTCATTTAAACCAGATTTGGTGCCCTATGAGCCCATGCAGGCGGTTATAAACCTATCTATATACTTACATGAGGGGAAAACCATTACGATAAGAGCTCCCTCCCCCTATTGAGCTTTATATATCTGTAGTCCTTCGTTGCCAACATTAAGTGCAATTGGTCTTTAGTCCGGGACAGGACTAGCTAAAGTATACCTCGCCATCCTTTCCCTACTCTCCGTGCCGAAAAGTGATGACTGTGGTCTTGAATTTGACCCTGATGGCGCTGTTAGTTGAGGAAGTGGGCCTGTGGTCATGGGATGTTTTCGCAGGCACCCCGGCCCTCTCTTGCCAACCTCTGCCTTCTGGTTGGACACAAGTGTAAACCATTGGTCGTCCGTTAGTTTTGCCATTGATATTGCAGTAGTCGCCACTGGTAAGTTATCTTCTCTTCTAAGGTCTGCCGTTCTCTCCAAAAGTCCATACCGTGCCCTTTGGACACTTGCCTTGTAGACTTGATAAGTTAGGACACACCCCCTTTTGACAAGATTTATGAGCTTTACCGCAATTGCTGCAAGAAACCCTTTTCTTCGGACAATCCCAAGTTTGGTGAGCGCCTGCACATTCACCGCACCTAGCTGCCTTTTCACACGACGCCTGGTTGTGTCCCCACTGGCTACAGTTATAACACTGCTTTATCTGGGCTCGTAGTGACCACACCTGAGCGGTGAAGAGCATGGCGTTCATCACAAGGCCCTGTCGAACTACCTCCGTTTGCATTGCCTCCGATGGGAGGCTGACCACAATTGAACCTCGATTGCGACCGTTTTTCTTCGATCGCTGATGCTCCTTTCCATCATGTAGCCATCGTATTCTATTAATTACCAGGCCTGTAATACGTTCCTTCGTCGCCGTCTCAACCTCCCTGATGATGGCGTAGTTGTTGGCATCTTTTCCCCCTTCAATTTTTGTCCGTAGTGGGACTCCGGAAACATCGACAGGAAAATCTTGCCGTAGAATTTTGAATTCGCTGGTTTGTCGCATATTAAGCGCCCCGTCTCTCTGGGACGCCGACTGGACAAACACCTCGGTGTCGTTGCTTCGCATCTGTCGAATCGCAAACGCTCCTTCAATGTGTTGTTTGGCCCTTGATGGCTGCTCCTCCGCCTGCTGGTTTTGTGCTCCATCGATTCTTGTTCTAACCGCTGTTTTCGCCATTTGCAGAGCCTTGACCGACGCGTAGGTCCTTGATGACGGCTTCCCCGACGACACAACAGGAGTTGCTTGTCATGCGGAGTCCGGGAGGCTTTTCCTGAAAACCTCCTCTAGCGCCATCAGCCCTTTAATCTTTGCGTTTCTCCCGTTATCTTCAGCCCCAGAATCTCCTCATCTCGACCGAGGGTCATTCTCTTTATTGGGGATTTCACCCATTCGCTGACAGTTTGACTTGCCTTTTGTCCTCTGATTTAGCGTCGCCTTGGTACAGCTTATAATCTCTCTATCTTAGAAACAGTCCCATTCTCCGGCCATATCCCTAGTTGTAGCTAGTATACGGAGAAAAGCTTAAGACCGAGGCACTGATGTCTTTATTTCGTCGAAAGTTCTCAATAGTATACTGGCGAGATTTCGTTTCAATCTTTGGGATAGTGACTCGTCGCGGCACAAGTTATTTATGCTCTAGCCGTGGTATAGACACTTTTGAGGTCAGTGCTTCGACTGTTCCTTTACAGCATAAGGCGATTGCGAATGGTTTAATATCTCCTTGTAACATAGATTAATATTTATACTCTTGCGTTTGTGGATTGTTTTGCTAGGTAGTTCAGCAAAGATGGCATCGCAAAGTGATTGTGGCTAGGGAGAAACTTGAAAGTTCCTCACGTCAAAGGCTTTCAGTTACTGTAATACGAACGTTAGACAGGTTCGAACCTATCTCCTTATATTTTTTGTGAAAATGATAGGAGTCGTTAATTTTAGCAGTCGTTAAGTCACTACAGGTCGGGTTTTCAAACAACAACTTGCCAACGCCACTTCTCCAGATCACCATCTCCACGGCAACTCTTGAGTCCACCCTATGCCACGACTGAGTCTCAGCACTGAATAGCCTTTAAATCATAGGTCTCAAGAATCCCAATGATGGGTGTTTAATAATTTTTCTACACTATTGTTAGAACATGGCCGTTCCTAATACAGGTCGCACGGTGAGACCGGAATCCCAGACAAGCGCACAGATCTCCCGGACTGGTACAAAATAGTTTCATATCATGGACGGGTATATTTGAGATCGGTTGTATCCGCTTTAGGAGATAACATTACTCGCGCTACATTAAAAAAGGCCTCACCGAACCATCCCGACAAATTAAAAAACATAGTCAGCCGATGGTGTGATACAATTCTCCCTCCGCCAAATAGCAGTGAGTAGATTGGCGGCAGCTTAAATTGGGACAATCTCTATTCAAGGTTAAATGATATAGAGATTTCCATTCACCTTATGACTTTCTTTTAGGTTGGATCACCATCCACTGCTGTTTCAGAATTATAAATCTAATCATAAAATTCCTAACATCCCATATATGACAAATTAAATGGTAAATATCCCTCATTTCCGTGCTCTCCGCTTTAATTACTAAGGGGGTGGCGTTAGATCCAGCCCATCCACCGTCAATTGAAAAGCCTTGTTTCTGTGTGCAGTTAGGAATTTGCGTTGTGAAGCTTCCATTAGGCCAAACAAACCTAGAAAATTTACCGCCAATATCCAGATCGAGTCGAGCTCTAATACAATCGTCTAAGTCGACATTTGCTACCAATATACCGTCAATTTCATCCCATAACGGTCCAATAACTACCTCTCCCGATGGTGCTACTATACAAGAGCCACCACGGCTTACATATTCTTCTTCCGCCTCTCGTTCCCGACGTAGCTTCATAGGGGATTTGAGCCCATCACGGCAAACACTTTCCACACTATCTTCCGTCATCTCAGACCTTTGTCTACGGAGCCTAAGTGGTGGCGTCGCACTCCAGTCTGTGTTTCCATTTGAGTGGCTCCTAGCTCCTATGAAGTCCTCAAATATTTTTTCTGGGGCTTTAGGTTGGCAGCCAGTTATCCACCCGGGCAAATGGGCCTTTGTTGCACACTGATTCGCACTAATAACAACACAATGTCCTTCTTGAGCAATAGTACGCAAAAGAGGCAGCCATGTCTCACGATCGTCGGAAGTAGGGGCAAGATATAAATTTACACTCTGGCTGTAGAGCGACTGGCGTAGCAGAGGCATGTAATTCTCCCAGCTTATAGCGGAAGCAAGGGTGAGCTTGATACCATGGATGGTAGTGGTAACTGCACGGAGAGATTCGGGTTGTCCCGGTGTCCAGATAAGCTGTTCGCAGCCGGTCTACTACTTTGTCAGTATATTGCGTAAAATAGGGTCGCTTGGGATGGGAAAGAGGTGTCAATAAATCGACTTACAGGAATGACCTTCCGTCTCTTACCGATGATCCCTTGGTTGGGACACACATATACAATAGCTGAGTATAAAATTCCCGCGCACTTCTCAACTAGGCCTACGATGAGAAAAACATCTGTGTCTCGCGCAATCCGCTCCAGCGCCTCTCTAGTTCCGTCTCCCCTTTCACCCCCTTGCTTAGGAGCTTCCAGCGATCTTTCCACCCAAGCTATGCCGCCTCCATTGGGAATATCTCCGAGATCAACTGCATTCTGAAAATATTTAAGGTACTGTTCCCGACCATGAGAGTCTTGTGCGCCCACTGTCGACCCAAAGGTTGTGTTTCGAGGATAGCCACCAATGAATGCTTCGGGGAATAGGATCAAATCCACCTGACGCGCAGCTGCGGATTGCGCAATACTTTCCAGCGCAAAAAGAGAGGCGGGTGTGTTGGAACGAGTATGAGCCTGGGAAACGGCTAGGCGTAGAATGGACATGTTTTTGTTTTTTGCTTCCATGCGGGAGGGGCTCTGGATAGTATTCGAGCTTCATCGTCCCTGACCCTGGCTTGTCTCGCTTCCGCTACACTTCGACTCCCGGCAAATTACCGGTTTCGCTGATCATGATCGATATGGCGACCGGGTTTAGGTCATGTGATTATGACGCAAGCTTTAGTTCATGCGGCGCGGCTCAGACTTTTTGATTAGACACTTTTTTTTTTTTTGCATCAGAGTTTAATTGCGTATGGAGCTATCTAGCTATGACACAATATCAAAGAAAAGTACAGAAAAGATGGCTCAGTTTACAATAGGAACACTCATGCCTCGGATTTCATTTGCAAGTACCACTGCGAAGTTATGGTGGCTTTTTCTTCACCCCAAGTCAACCCTCATCCGTGAATACCCACCCAGGGGAACGTCTCAAAAACCGTTTAGACTCTCAATTAGCATGGATAACAACATTTATATTCCTATCTAGTCATCGAGCTTCGACAGATCCTGGACATTTGAAAGCCGCAAATATTGTTACAGATGAGACAACGGGCAGAAAAAGGATTACCTGTAGAAACACACCCTCAAATATCCACCGGAACCGAAGTAGAGCCCAAAGCAGTATTGCTGTTCAGATAAGAAGTGAGCACATTGGTCTCAATTACTATCTGTATCGAAGGAAAGTCCCCAGAGTGATTAATCCAAAATGCCAGTATGGATATCCGTCTCAAAATGTTAAACATATGGTCTTGGCGTGTCCTCAGTGGGCAATGAGAAGAGGAGAGGTGCTTCGAAAGGCAAAAGATAGGTCCTTTACGGCAATGATGAACAGCACAGATGATATGGAGAGAATCACAAAATGAATCTTGGTAAAAGGCTGGTTTGAACAATTCCGGCTTGCAAGAGAATTAGAGATTGCATTGGACGAAAAGATGAGACAATGTGGACAAGGATAAGAGAGAATTCACACTGTATGAACATTATCAACGCACTTTGCGTAGGATACGTCAGACAGACGTGAGAAAGACAGTTTTGGGGGTTTTTACCGAATTTGGTTACCCCATGTGTAAGTATTATAATTAGATATACCTGCATGGGCCTAAAGGGAATTTGATTGAGTGAGTGTTTATTGTCCGAATGAGTCTATAACTATGTAAGGAGACGTAGGTCCTTTCTGCCAACAGGCCGGGAGTATCTATGCCTCGGGTAGTGTACTCCTTCCTACGTCTCTTTCATGACTTCTTTCCAGCAGTAATACCCCCACGGGTCTTCATTCAAGTAAACACTAGGAGGAGCCGTTATCCCGTCATTATCTCCCTTCTCCAGCCAACGAAACGATGACCATTTGCGGGTGTTTAAAAAGCCTCAAGAACTACTGAGTACGGGGCTCTCTTGATAGGAAGAGGACAGCTAGCCACGCGCAGCAGACCTGCCTATACCCAAGAGCGTCTCAACCTTCCTAGCCTCCTCGTCACTCCTCCCTTGATTCATACCGCAGGATAAAGCGAAGGTCGTGGAAGGATGTCAGAAAAGTCTTGGTCGAGAGTGACTGTCGTGAAGGAGCCTAGCCCGGCATCCAAAAGTCGTTGCAGACATGGAGTTGACGAGTAATTCAAGTATTTCAGAAGCCCTCTTGGCTAGTATGTTCGGGATCAATGGTTGGAAGGGACGATATTATTGACGATTCGAAATCCGCATTTCTTGAGGGCGGATGGGTCTATTACTTTGCATTCGCGGGCTTTTTGTTCGCCCGCCGGTGGGTAGCACATGTTGTAATATAACTAGGGCTCCACTGACTACCGTTATAGCGTTGGATAACGCAGTATCTATCCTTATTACCAGCATCATTAACGTTGTCTTATGAGTTATCGGAAACGTATCTTTGATTGGGGGGGAGATAACTCAGCTCAAAGTTGATAAGGTGTTACTCAACCTCGGCTCTGCAGACCATACAGTGAGAACTGGAGGTGGCATGAGTGCTCTTACCTTACGTTGAATCGTCTATCCTATACTTTTCTTTGATATTGTGTCACAGCTAGATAGCTGCATACGCAATTAAAATCTGATGCAAAAAAAAGAGAGCTTGAGGTTTGTAGGAGACACCACTGACAGGTGTTGAGAATAGTCTCCCCAGCTTTAGCCGTGCACCGGTCGAGGTCGGTCATGTGTGGTATCAACTTAGTCCGTGAGAATTCATGGCGCGACTTGGAACAAATAAAAGTCCAGTTTACGCTGCGCACTAGAATAAATCCCTTCGAGAAACCTTGGCCTTGACTTGGAGCGTAGATTCGAATAACGACAGAATCTATGCCGCCAAGGCTCACCTTGCTACACATGGGCCGGATGTCTCCAACTGACTACCAACTGTCAAACTGGCGGGCATGCTTGACCCCCAACTGATTCAAATGCCACTATTGATGCAGCATATTTTTGCAAGCCCACCAATATTCCATCGTAAATAATAGGACCAAGATGACGAGCCTGACCTGGCTGTAAAAATTCCACCGTACCACGATAATGAATAATCCACTAAAGTATAGAGATTTGTCCAAAAATCAACAGCTAATATTCTTTGAACTCTTTGAACTCTTCTAACTCTAATACTCGGACCATGGCTTAATTAGACTAAAATAAACCCCCTTTAATATACACCACTGAGAGCATTCTTCCATTGTATGCTTTACCTCGTTAATTTAATAATTATCCCAATCCCGTCCCTACGTCTACATCCACAACGCAATCGATATGTACATGAATATCGAACTAGTGCCACGAAGGTCTGATGTAGACAAGCCCCGGGAACTCTGCTTGAAAAAGTGGACCTTGCTGAGGGTCTCAATCGCTAAATCATAAATTTAAGGTTTCCGACTAAAATTATGGTTTAAGTGCCCTACTAGCGTCAAGACTTCAAGTAGTGGTCTGCGGCTAATATATCAAGGTTTCGCTAGATGTTGCGAAACGAAAGGATGTAGACCGCTATGAAACAGATGTACTGGCAAGAAATAGAAGCTTGATCGAATATCACTCTTGGATTCTGGCATTCCATTTCACATCCATCACGACTCCTGTCTAGCTAGATTTAACATGAACGGTACTGACACGAAACAACAAAGTGACGCAAGGACGGCCCAAGAAATGAAACACGCAACCTTCTCCATGACCGTTGTCCACAATTAAGAGGAGCAATACAATTCTTCAAAGAAACGTATCTATTCAAATTTCGGCGAAAAAATCACGGCACATGAGCATTGAAAGTCAACATGAGCCATGCACATCTTTTAAAGTATCGACAGAAACCTCCTGTCTATGTCCTCATAAGATAGAGATAAAGTATTGGATACAGGTGACCTACACAAAGGTAAAATTATTCGACTTACTCCAAACGGGCGTCTGGCGATGACTCTGGCTCATGTAGCAAAAAAGACATCAAGGCACATATTCAACACTTAAACACAACTTGGCTTAAACAATTCCTGAGTCAAGGCATGAAGATTTAGTGTGTTACGAGAAGTTACTAGGAGCGTCACGTAGCTCGACTGTAACGTCTTCCATGGGACCGGAGAATATTGACACGATTTGCCTGTATTTCTGTACGTGAGACTGCTTGAACGCTGTTCCCGGAGCTTGATATTGATAACGTCTACTCTCATATCTTGTCTCTATGTACCTTGACAGGGCACGTGTTAACACCGATATTGAGTAGATTCGTCAAAGTCACGTCTGAGGGTCATGTTTAGTAACGACTCATCTAAGGAGACGCTTTACACAAGAAGTTCCCTCTTGAATTATACTATCATCTAATTCCAAAACCCCCGATGGTCTCCTGACGACTCTGGACATCCCCTTCACCCAGTGGCTTTGATTACTCTGCGCTTTTGTTACATTCTTCATCCTCGACATGACTCTAACCCCTCACACCATAGACTGTTGGATTTTCTACAAAAGGCAGTATCAACTGCGCTCCTAGATATTTTACTCATGTTCAACGACAGTCAGTAATCTATTTATCCGCAGTCAAACATCTCAATCGCACATAATTGTCGGTTACTACTCTCGTTTACATAGTTTCTTTCTTTTATCAACTTATCTCGCCTCAATTTTCACTACCTTCACTCTTAAATATCAACAAAATGTCTCAATTCGGAGCTTACTACTTAACTGGATTCATGCTTGTAACCGCTGCTTTCTCTCAACAATGCCGATTACAATTCGATGCTCGTGTACCGCAAGGAACTAGTGTGGGAAGCTTCGACGTCAAAACAAGCTTATTCCGTACTACAGATGTAATTGGCAAAGGTAGTGATCCGTCCTATTTTCCACACAGGCTTTTACTCATGCGTCTCCAGGTTTAAAATTCAGTGAAGTTATAGAATTACCTAAATCCGGGGCATCGCTCGTAAGTTTTCACTCACCATCTCACCTGCCCTTGTTTTCCTATCTCGTATGATCTTCTTGACAAGAAACCTCGTCAATGGAGACTACTGCGCGCTCGAGCTAAGATTGAATTAACACTTAACAGTTTGACGAAAAAACAATTCCATTTGAAGTTACTATTTCTGATAAATCAATATTCAATGATCAAGTTGGATTCCGACGCGCCGAAGTTCAACCTGTTAGTGTCACTGGTACTGACACTGATCCTTCGAGCTTAGGAATTAAAACCTTACATTTCTCGCTGAAATCTGATCCCTTGAAAGCACTAAATACTAGTCACGAGTACCAACTAGTTTTTATGGAAGATAGCGATTTCTCTACGAATCAGTTTGTCCTCAAGACTGGTTCCATACTAGGCCAGAAACAAGATCCCAATGATCTAGTACTAATGGGAAATGTTGATGACGGTGAAATCCTTTTCACTACACCCTTCACAGCCGGCGTATTTCACAACTTTGCTTTAAAGCTGAACTTCGATGACAAGTAAGTACCCAGACTCTCGATCTAGCTGACTTGATCAACGCGCCCTCTTTCCAAAGGGTTGGTAGCTGACAACAAAACTATAGTCAAATCTCCGTCTTCTATTCCACTGGTGATGAGGCCCTCAAAAGCGTGCTCACCGACACAGCAAATGACTTAACTGGACATGGAATGTTCCATTTCGGATTATTGAAGAAGCCCGTCGGTGAAGCTACAGATATTGCCAAAGGTGGTTTCCAACCAGATGGTATTGATGAAGGCATTATCTACGGAGGTATTTTTCAAGAAGATTCAGTAGATGGATGCCTTAGCTCGACCGTATAAGAACTTGAATCTTGAGATTGCTTGAGCGCAACAATAAAAAGAGGGATAGAAGAGGGGTGCCCGGCCACCACTGAGTCAAGTGAGCTCAATAGAAGCATCTGCTTGAGTTTTTGTCCCAAGTACTACAGAATATCTGAAAACTTTAAAATATGGCTGAAGAGTACTAGGAATACTCGATGATCCTCAGTGGGGCAGCTGGTGCGCACACTCACGTCGCAGAGACCGAGTCTGCATGAAGACTTCTACAGTCATCTATCTCTAGATCAAGACGAGCTTCTGAGCCGCAACAATGAAATTTTAACCAATTCTATGCTATATACTGTGAATAATAGTAAATCGCGTCAAATTGACTTGACTCGACTTCGTCTACACTGCCTAATTTTCAAGTAATCTAACTACATATGTTATAGTCATGTGACAAATGCATTTTGTCCGATCTATAATATATGTGCTCTAAGAGTCCATAACCCACGAATTCGACTTCTTCGACTTGTTAGCAGTGCCGGTGAAAACACCTAGTAAATTGGCACATCTGGGATAGCCAAGTAGGGTCACGGTATCTCTCTTTACGAGTACTGACCATCCACACGAGTAGCAATCGGTTCTAGAATGCAGAGGTGGCTCCTTACAGATGCGATTGCGACAGTACAATTGAGGGTTATAAGAAAGTTAGGCACTTCTAGGGGTCTCAATTGTGTAGAATTTGATTCAATTATTGATGATTATTACTTGTTATGTCTATCTACAGATAATGTGTTACAATTCTACATGTGCCCGTAATCGCTTAGATTTGGCTAGTGGGCTGTCCCCTCCTTTACCTCGCTCTCGTGTTCCATCACGTGAGATTTAATAAATGCTCAACACAAAGTCCGCAGATTGAACAGCGTTAGATCACAACAGTATTAACCTATTGTAACGGTTGTCCAAGGCTACTTCACAGCAGTCACTTTCGACCAAGGCTTTTCAGACATACTTTCATCCCCTTCGGTTTTTCCTGCAGCATGAATCGGGGGAGGAGTGAGGAGGAGGCTAGGAAGGTTGAGAGATGCTCTTTAGTATAGGCAGGTCTGCCGCACGTGGCTAGCCGTCCTCTTCGTATCAGGATAGCCCCGTACCCAGTGGTTCTTGAGGCTTTTCCCTGTAGCTACACACCCGCAAGTGGCCATTGTTTTGATGGCTGGAAAGGGGAGATAATGACAGGATAACGGGTCCTATTCGTATGTTCTCGAATGAATACCTGTGGGGGTATTACTGCTGGAAAGAAGTAGTGAAGGAGACATAGGAGGGAGTACACTACCCGAGGCATAGATACTTCTGGCCTGTAGGCAGAAAGGACCTACATGTCCTTACATAGTTATTGACTTTTTAGGACAATAAACACTTGTCCATTCGGGACCACTTATTATCGAGCCTAGTAGGATCGACAAAGTGTATCCCAACACAGAAATAATAGGAAACTCTACTACCCAACCCTTCGTCAATTAGAGAAATTCGAAAATTCCCTCGGAGAACGCTGCACCCAAAGCAGCGTCAAAATCAACGTCGCAGCCCAAAGCTGCCACGAAAGCAGAGTGTCCCCTCGAGCTCCGACCAATTGTCGAAGCTGAGCAACGACGCACCGCCGAAACAGCGGCAAACCTGGCCCTCTGCTCTGCCGCCATCTCTGGCGTCGAAGCCACCCTCCACCCTCCTCTATTTGACCTGTTGGTCAAATGGACAATTCGTAGACTCGATGAGAGTCTAACTACGCGTCGCTATCGCGCAATATATGGCCACGGGCCCGGCCATCACGCCACCCGTCCTCCCTCCTCGCCCGGCGAACCCTCTCCCAAGGGCTCCCGACGTCAGGAGCAATACAACTTCCGCCGTCCCAGTTCTGCCTGTCAAAAGCAACTGGGCCACGGTGGCCAGAAATGGACTGCAACAAAAAGCAGTCCCAACTGTAAAGGCTGTGCCGCGACCTGCGGCCAAAGCCCCAAAGAAAGAAGCTCCCAAGGCAAAAGTCGACAAACGACTGTCCCTTCGCCTAGAAAAGGAGCACCCATGGCGCCAGCTTTTGCCTGATGGCCTACGGCAACAACTACAAAGTGAGCTAGATTGCTTCTTGAGTGACGCTTGCTCTATACACCGTGTTAGAACTGGCTTTGCGATTCTGACAGGGAAATAAAAGAAAAGGGAAGAGCTCCTAGATGCCGCACCAAAGTTATCGGACTTCGACGCCAAGCTCGAGGAAGCCTCCAACCTTGTCGCCTTTCGGATCGCGAATGTTCCGGCGACCGTAAAAACAATCAACTGTATTCATACGGTCGATGCTGAGTGGATCTCATTGGAGAACTACCGAAAAACACATAAGCTTCCACATCAGGTGCTACCGCACGGGACATGCCGTCCTGGAGCGCCGTACAGAAATTGGAAAGCCCTTTTCACCCGGGACAACGCCCCTCGCCCTGGCTTCCGCATTCTCGAAGAGGCTGGTATGGTTACCATTCACAAGCCTCGTCCACAAATTGAACAGTGCAAACGCTGCTTGGGCTTCTACGCCACCCGTGGTTGCTCCCGCGCTCCAGCCTGCTGGAACTGGGGATCAAACATGCACTCGGAAGCCGAGTGAAAGGCCCTCACTAAGTGTCGCAACTGTGGGGGACCTCACCGATCGGATTCTCGGGCCTCTCAGGTCAGACCCAAAAATTCCGGAGCGGTGACCAAAGAGCAGCTCGCGTGGATCCGCCACATAGAACAAGGGGAGTTCTCAAAGGTGGCACGAGCACTAGCAGTAGCTAAAAAGGCCGAAGAGGCGATCCTCGCCGCTGCGAAGGATGTCTCAATGGCCGAGGCAACAGGTTTCGGAGCTCTGGAAGCTGAAGAAGAAGAAGTTTGAGGACACAGCAACCTCGACGATGTCCCTTTTGGGGAATCTACTAACAATTAGCAGGAAACCGGCTGGATAAAAAGTACCTGCTAACTTATCTCTTGCTCTCAGCGGAGAATGAGTAAATTTGTCATTCGGAAGGTGTGACGGACGACGGAATGTGTGAGGAGCGCATTGGCTGGGTCCAACATGTGTTGAAATCTAGACATGCCAGACCGAACTGCACGCAGTGCGGAGTAGACGAAGACTACTCATCTTCGATCGCTACCAGCTTTGGTGAGGTCTCGGTTGGTGATGATCTCGGTGGTGTGAATGTTATTCCATCACGTAATCAGAACACAATGTTTCTACCTAAGCGAGGTAGAACATAGATAGACAATTAGATGTAGATTAAACACTAACACTATTAATTACCGAAATATAAGTTCAGTAAAACCAAAACCTCACTGATCCTAACCTTTTATCTCTGATCCTTAAAACCCCAATATCTTACGATTCGTACACTATTAACTTGACGGTCAACGTTCACTTCTATCATTCCAGATACCCCCTAGAACTTTAATAACATGGAGGAATCTTCTGTTCTTTTCGGAGTTGTTTTGATTATCTTGATTTTTCGTTTTGTTTAATCAGCTGCACTTTTGGTAGCGATTCACGAGGTTGGAACGAGCTAGGCTGTAGAAAAAGTTGCAGGGGAGGGCAAGACTGAACACCTGTACGCGGTGTCCTCTACGAACCTCGGAGTGAAATATTCTCCCAGAGCCAAGTTCAGTCAAACTTCGCAATATCAAAGAAGTTGGCCCACGAGGCAAAGATCCAAATTACTCATCCACGTCGTTATTTCGCTCCCAACGAGTTTGACTCCTATCTTTGTCTCATCGAGTCTACAAGTACGACCAAGTACATCCTCATTCCAATGACCACACCACTCTTCGACCTTCTCTGGCCTCAGCTGGTCACCAAATACACGCCCACGCCGATATTTATACCCGACGGAGGAAGCAAAGCGTGGCGCACAAATCTGGGAGACAGTTCTTTGGAATGGACGTGAGAGGGATTAGGACAAGTTGACAAGATGATATGGAGGAAGGATATAATTTTGAAGGGCATGAGATTCCGAATTTTGGCAAGGAGTTTTTCGAATTGGGCTTTGTGCGCGCCAAGACTTCGCTTGCGAGAGTGCAGCTGACACTATAAAAACAAGCAAACGATGGAAGGTGTTGTGGTCCGCCTCCTGGTGGTGTTCTCCGGTATAGTTTGACTAGCCTGGGCACCTAATCCACTTGGGAAGGAGACACCTCAGATCACATATCGCGCGGAGAAAAGTTGAAAGATGATGGAGGCATGTCTGGATAACTCAGGGTTTTTGAGATGTTCCCCTGGGTGGGTATTCATGGATGAGGGTTGACTTGGGGTGAAGAAAAAGCCCCCATAACCTCGCAGTGGTACTTGCAAATGAAATCTGAGGCATGAGTGCTCTACTTTTAAATTGAATCATCTATTCTATACTTTTCTTTGATATTGTGTCATAGCTAGATAGCTGCATACGCAATTAAAATCTGATGCAAAAAAATAAAATATAAAAAAAAGTTGCAGGGAACCCTGCTGGATCCGCCGGTCCTTGACCCAATGTGGATAAAGAGCTTTAGCTTAGGACCAAAAGTAATAAAAGAAAACAACCTTCCATCAATAACTGCCATTAACCATCTTCTGACTTGTCTCTGTACTCCACATTTTCAACACTTACGTGAAGGGAGATGATGAAGGGCAAAGGGCTTCTCTAAGTGTATGATCGAATGAGGACTTGTGAGGGGTGGTACTGTTTGAGGGGAGCTGTATGGGAGACATAGGAGGGGATATACTACTGGTATAGGCATCCTTGGCCTGTAGGCAGAGAGGACCTGCATGTCCTACATAGTCGTAGACTCAGAGAGGACAATAAAATGAATTAATAACACGTACGTGATAGTCGGGCCCAAAGCAGTATTGCAGTTCATATAAGAAGTGAGCACATTGGTCTCAATTCTTATCTGTATCGAAGGAAAGTCTACGGAGTGTTCAATCCAAAACCTTAGTGTGGATATCCGTCTCAAAATGTCAAACATATGGTCTTGGCGTGTCCTCAGTGGGC